ATTATTACATATGTGAAATCCTTAATTTAGCATTTTTTGTTCTCAGAAAACTTTCAGATGAATCATTATTTTTTGTCACATATGCTTTAATAAGGACTTTGAAATATTTATCTGCCAATAATTTAATACAATTGTCACAAACACCTTTAATATTTGCATTCTTTAAGAAATAATTAATTAACTTAGTTTTAATTCCATATGGGCTCTGTAACAAAAATATATTAAAATTGTTTTGAAATATTGCTGACATTTCTGAAGATAATTTTTTCCCACACCAATTTGGATACAGCATTCTGCAATTGTCATCATATTTTTTCATTTCTATGTGAAAATTTCCCATTTCCCTATGTGAAAATTCCCCATCTTTTTTCGTAAAATGGTCAGAACACATGACGTAGTTTCTATTTAAATATTCTGGCCCTTTTGTTCTTAAAATATTTTCTAAGTCGGACCTTCTGCTTTTAACAACCCACTGAGTGCATCTGAAAATCAATATAAACACATACATTGAATGATAACAATATTTTCAATGAGGAATGTTGATATAAATGAAAACAATCTAATTGGTTATGAATTTACTTACACTTGTTTGTTTTTAGGGAATCTGTAAAACGACTTGCGATTACTTTGTATCTTATAGTTAAAGCAGCCATACATAGCGCAAATAACTCCTCTTTCGGCCACTCAAATTATTATGAGATATAAAAATGTTCAAAACTATATTAATATTAATATATTATTATATATATATTACTATATCTATATACCCAAAAACGTCTCCTTATACACGCGGTAGAAATGGAGTGAAGCGTAGTTATCTCCTCAAACCACCAGATGGCGGGCTGAAGCTTGTCGCCAGTTTTCAGCAGAAGTTTCCACTATTGTCATAATAAACTATTTGCCCTGTCTCAGNTATATCTATATACCCAAAAACGTCTCCTTATACACGCGGTAGAAATGGAGTGAAGCGTAGTTATCTCCTCAAACCACCAGATGGCGGGCTGAAGCTTGTCGCCAGTTTTCAGCAGAAGTTTCCACTATTGTCATAATAAACTATTTGCCGTGTCTCATCTAGGTGTTAATCCGCGCGTGGATCCGTCTCTGATGGAAAATGTACAGAGATTTTTTAAAAGAAATATGGCCGACCGCCGTTTTCGCGTGTTAGAACAATTGCGTACGTATTTAAGCGAAGAATAGGAAAAATTCCGACGGAGTTTCTGCACAAGTTTCTATATTTCGTGCCTGGATGCCTGGCAACTCTCGCGCTAACGCAAGCGATCGAGGCGGAAAGGTGACGCTATTCCGTAGTGATTACGGAACCTTAACACGTTGAACTGAGTTCAAAGAAACGTTGTTATTTGTTGTTGTTTTTACTATTGTTGTTGAGTTTATATTTAATATTTTATAGAATTTTATTTATAATTTACCCGCTGACACGGCGCAGCTTGGCCTAAATGGCTCTTGCGCCAAAAATAAAGTAATCAAACGAGAGGATCCGAACTAATTAAAAGTCTATTTAGTAAATCTCTGTACATACCTATGAATCCTAGATTTCTTTCGCATAAATAATCCTTTATATTTTCTATTATATTTGTTTCTTGCTTTTTGGGCTTCTTCCAAAAATTGCAGTACTGGAATAATACAAGAGGAAAGAATTTCCCTTTGGTGAAAAAGGGCCTTGTAGATACTCACGGGGTATTTTTAAAAGTATAATAAATTTTGGGTGTTCTCCAAATCTGTCAAGATTAATTTTGTAACCAGAATTCAACATTCTAATATACTACGCAAGCGTCTGGTAAGCTCTACATTGACGCCACTAATTTTGGCAGAAATTTCTGCTTTTCGAAAAAAATTTACGCGCAATATTTCCATTGTTGCTTTGGCGCGTCTACCGGCAAACCTCGTTCATTTTTAAATCGTTCTTGCCCACTTTTTTCATTCTATTTTTTTCTTTTAGTTTTTGCTAGGGGCCTGTCACGTTATTATGTCTAGTCTATAGGCATGGGCGTAGCGAGGGGGGCCTGGGTGGGCAAGGCCCTTCCCAGTGAACCTGGTTCACCCCAGAAAATTACAGCCGAAAAAAATGTTGAGTCAATTTGCAAACAGAACGAAAAATTTAAAGCTAAAAATTTGGAATACTAAAAAAACAGGTCAACGGCTCCTTGTGCACAATGTTATGATTAAAGGAAGTTTCATATTTCGTGTGTGTTGAGTTATCGTCGATTATCATGGAATTTTCATTTTAATGAACAATAATTTGAAAAAATTCAATTTTGTGTCAGGTTGGCCTCTACTAGGCCCCCCATAACAAAGCTCTGGCTACTCCCATGTCTATAGGAGATGTGTAGTAGTACGCTTCCCAAAAGACGAATTCGCGAATATAATGACGATAAACCAAATGAAAAACTTTACCAGTCTTTCCGAAATGATATTTGGATTATTCATTTCGCTCGGTTTAGCGCCACGGAAGTAGCGCGTTTGCGACGAAACGCACGAAGACACGCCGTTATTAACTTTCTCTTCTATCGTACAAAAGATTAGTATAAGTTTAACGGAAAAATTCCGTGCCATTTAAAAATATGCACGTTTGTAGGCCAAAGAGCCGACACTTGTTCTTTACTTTTATTTATTTTAGTATTTATAAGAGTAGCATTTATATTAGCAAATACGAATTTAATCGGTCAATAATATTTTGTCAAAGGTGGAGCAGGATTTTGCCAAGTTACTCGTTTTAAATTAATTGTCTAGTATTCCCGTGGTGATGTCATTACAAATAAGTTTACGTCGGTATGTTCGTTTATCGTAAAACTTTTCTTTGTATTTTTTTCTTCCGCGTCATCGCAACCCCATTATCAAATTATATCACCGTTGGCTGTTAATTCGAAACTTTTCACAACTTCCTCTCGAACTTTACATAACCGTTAAATATTGCCATTGATTAGTGACTTCGATTTAATTTCGGTAATACCGGGCGAATAGCGTGTTTCGTAATTGATTCAAAGAATTTACAAATATATTATTATACCGTACCGCCTGAATTATTTATTACGTTTTATGATATCTGAAAATAAACTAAATAATGTTAATTTTCTACGTTTTTTAAAAAGTCGATTCTCCAACGTAAGATTAATAGAGGAATTTAATAGGATTCTAACACAAACAAATTGTTTGATTCTCGTTTTCGAAAAGTATTTTCCATACAAACGGCATTAAATTTTTCACGCCATCTTCTCCCATCGCGCGCTAATCAAAGCGCTTACAATCAGCTTTAAAAACTCGAAATATTTTTCTTGTTCAGATACAAGTTTTTCTGTTTTAGTATTAAAATAAAGAAGGCAAAGCGGAAAATTAACTCGAGTAAGCTTATGACATTTATTTTCTGTTATATAATTTTTCACGCACTTATTAACGTAATTGAAGAAAACCGATTTAACACTTTATGGCCTTTACTTAGGAGCAGAAATTCGAGCGCAGGCTCTGCTCAACGCGGCACTCAATTGAATTTCGAAAAACTGTCTCAACTGTTCGGTAATCTTTGCCACGAATGCGTTTTCGGCCAATTTCTTTACCTGGGAATTCAGTTGTCCTAATCCGGTGAATTCAGTTTGGACGTTTCCGACACGCGCGGCATTTACTTTCGCCGACCCACCGCTATTGGTAGGGGGAAGGACATTTATATATCCCAAAGTAGAATATATATAAGCGTAAGCTTTGATACTCTTGGTAGGAAGTACTCCGTATTTTAATTTGCCGTCGTAACTAACATTAATATTTGGAAAACTGAGATAGCAACTAAAAGAATTATTATTCTGGAATATAACGCAATCTCCGTATCTTTTAACTCGGAATAAACCTTTCATTATTCCGTTGGTGTAATTAAATTTAGCATCCGCCTTCAGCGCGTACAGTTTTGTGCTAGTCGAGTTAGCGAAATTGGCCAGGGGAGCGGGATCGATGTAAGATCCCGCTTCTTGATATCTGAAATTACTGTCGGCTAGAACTTGATCCATATAGTTATTGGCTTGGAGAGAGGTGAGTGCCAGCGACGCTTCTGCACGAGAAAGAAACGATAATTTACCAACTCGTAATATTTAACGAGATGTTCCGAGTACTTACCCCAAAGCGTTAAAATAAAGAACCAACTAAGCATCATTTTCTTTAGATTTCTACGCCTACAAAGTGGGAAAATATTTTTAAAGTTAGGAACTTTAATGATAAATGTTTCTCGAGTTGGTCGAAAAGTTACTTTATAACATACTTGCCTTCTGGTGAGATGAAGATGGTGTGAATGTCACCTTGTCTACTCGTTTTATAAGGAATAAAATTGATGTGGCAATCTGTTATTTTTTTACAAAGTAAAGAAAGATGGCGAGATTCGGTAAATATTTTATCAACAACTAAAATACATAATAATTATTGCATCAATAGGTATTTTTAATCTTCAAATTAATTGTTTTAATCTTTAAATATAAATATTTTAAATAATACACGGTTTAATTGTATTTGTAATAACGATGTTAGTTTGATTTTGTATAATAACACAACCACCTCCCGGACCAAACTGCGTTAAATAAGTGGTAAAATCTAAAACACAAAGTCGTGTATATATAAATAAGATCACTCACGTAAATGACTTAAAATTTTTACGTATCATCATTGCTAATTACGTCGAACAATGCATCATTTTGCATCGTTCGCAGTTAAATTTGAATAAATAAAAAAATAGAATAAAATATCTATATCTTTTTCTAAAGTCAACGAATCAACGAACAAATGAAGTGTTTAATGTTTGTACGCGCATTCGGTTAAATACCATCTACGCGGGTCATATTCTCCCATGTCAAAGATTTTAAATAATACTACGAATCGGAGTTATCGTCGATATGGTTAAAACTATTTATTTTATTATTTAAAGCGCAAATAATTATAATTATAAAGAATAAGTACATTAAAATTATAAACAAACGTTCCATGGCATTAATAAATTATGCCGAAGGAAGGGATAACTTAATGGTGAGATTAAATTCCCGATTATAATTAAAAATTCGATATTTCGTTTACTCTTCTAATTAAAAAGATTTTGTAAGCGAATAAATTACGAAAGAAAAATATTTGTATTAAAACATAAACAAAATACGACGATCATAAATGAAAATATCCGGTTGCAAAATGTGTTTATTGTCATTTGATTTTTTCTATAAAAAGTAAACTTCGGAAAAAAAAAATATANAAAATCAATTATACGAAGTGTCCCGTAAAGACCGCAAACTCCGCAGAGAGAGAATCATCGCTCGGAGTGTATAAAAAATGATCCGAGAACTATACTTCTACCACCCGTAGTTTACGAGAAGAATGCAAAAAATGTATGACGTCACATCCGGTGATGGGAAAAATTAATTTTATCGGGAACGCGAAGAATGGTATTTGCATAGGACGCGAGAAGATGCCGAAAATGACCATGGCAACAAAAAAATCTTGGAGTCTATGCCAAACCGTAATAAACGCGCCGTCTAGTGGAAGTTATTGGGAAACTCAATTAATTATCACCTCCTATCGTACACCCGATACGACCTACTTACGCTCTCCTTCTTTGTAAAGTGCCGGTTTCGGTGGGGACGGAACATTTTGCTTTTATATACCGTATATACAGATGAGGCAATGGTCAACGTATCTATTGTAAAATATTATACCATTAACATTTTTAAGTTTTTGGTCTATATCTATCGGGCGTAGTTCCACTAATTTGGGACGTACGCGTGATTCCAATGACGTTCCAAACGTCACTGTCAAACTTCTAGGCTTACGGGACGGCGGCGCTCGACGTTGGACGTTCACGTTTCGGAGACGAAAACTTGGGCCGCAACCCCTCTAATCTACAATTATTATTTATTTTAATTACTTTAATATTTTCTATTAGGTTATTTTATTAGTATTGATAATACTATTTAGTGAGTTTTCAAAATTATTTAATTTAACTTTTAAAAATGTTTCTGAATTATACATCTAGGGGTCTGTACGCTTCTATTTTTGGTGTGTTTTTACTCCGAAACCGAGTGTTAGAATTCTATTATTATTTTCTAATGTATAATTTAGATCATCTATATATATAATCGAGATGGGTTAACAATGAAAGTGTTAAGTAACAATGGACGTGTCAACAATGGAAGTGTTACGTAACAATGGAGTTGTTAATTTATTAAGAGAAAGCGGCGTGCAAGACACAGATGCAGTTTTTTTTCGTTTTGCGGAAAATCAAACATATTTTTAGATCCATCTAAAAATTTTCTAATTAGTCCGGAAACAGGGGGACCCAATTCTCGCATTCTGTGAAAACGGGTAAGATTGACTATAACGTAATTATCTTAATCTTCGCTATGGTTACTTTTGCCCGAGCAACGCCGGGCATATCCGCTAGTTTAAGATAATTTTATTACTTTTACATTTATATTTTCAATTGTTGTTTCTATATTATTTTTTATATCTAGCGTTGGATCTTCGTCTAACTTACGATATCGGTGCGTTGAAATTAGATTTGTTTTTATCTTTTGCCATTTATTGTTATCTATTAAAATTAACAGTTTCGATTTTTCGGTACGAACAATTTTTAAATTGTGATTTAAGAACTTGTCGACCTTATTAAGTTGGCTACTAAATTTAAATCTATTTTTCTTACGTTTATTCTGATTTTTTTAAAATTTATACGGGATCTTTAACTGTAACTCTTATTTGGTCTCCGCTATCTGTTAGAATAGCCTATATTTTAAGCAAAATTTCGAGTTAACGACTATATCGTTATAACTAATTTCTGTAGGAGCATTAAAATTTATTCCTTTAAATAGGACATTACCAACACATCTCGAGGATAATGTAGTTTGTTTGGTTTAATATTAAAATGTTTTCCCAATTTATTGTCTCGAAATGTAGGATATTTCAACTTTTTCTATGACTTTATTATCTTTTTTATAAGTATATAGATGGTTATAATTAAATATTTAAGTTTTATTATATTATTACATTTTTTAATTTTGGACTTTTTATAATTAATTACCGGTAGTGTAATTCTATTTACTTTTTTACATGGTGTCGACGTTCTGTGGATTTTGCCTGTGGGGGTTCTTATTCCCTTTTTGATTCTAATGTTTTGCATCTCCTAACGTCCAATTTAAAAGTAACAGTTTTTTGGTACGTTAGTTTTTATTTTGTATTTTTATAACTATACAATTATTCAAGTTTTAAATTTTATTCAATATTCACAATGATATGAATTTATACATTACATATAATAAACTCAGATATTTCATCAAAAATAATAAATGACGCATTGAATTTTTCTGAAAATTTTAAATCGAAATTTGTGGTTATTTTATAAGCTCTCATTTATTTGGTGATGGTATTTTCGCTATCGAGCAATTACCCAGGAAAGCTTAAAAATTGAGAAACCAGCCATATAAAGCCAATTGGTCTGGATGGAAATAACCTCGATGATTCGCTGTCGACGTTCTTAATTAAATTATTAAGACTTATTAATTTGTAATGAAAATTAATTGAAAATTGATGGACTGTCGAATACTATTTGCGGATTCGTAAAAGTTTGCGTTATTTAAGTCGAAATTAAAACGTATTGTTATATTGCTTTCATAAGTTAATTGGTATCGAGTTGTACTGTGTTTTTTTTTGTCTTGAGATTTTTAACATTGCTTTTTTAATCTTAAAATCAATAAATAACTTACTCTTTATTTATTGTTTTTATTACTTTTGTCGATTTAACAATCGTTAGATTATATCTGTTGTGTTCTCTTTGTTTCGATACGTATCGAACGAGGTCAACGTTATAAGAGGTTACGTAATGCTGTATAAATATCGTTCGATCGAGTTATTTTAAACACGTACGTTTTATCTCTACGTTAGCTTTTTACGTGCCTCAAATGAAATGTAGAAAGTCGTAAGTAGTTCTTATTGGTTTTGTATTATTTTTAAAGTATTTGATTGTGATGCGCCATCGAAACAATCTGAAAAGTAAATATCGTCACGAAATGAGAAATGATTTTTTAAAGGATATTTTTACACATTTCAACGTTAACGTTAAATATTTATTAATCTTAAAAGGGCTTAAGCTTACATCAAGAATTTATCTATAAGTTGTATTTTATGTTTTTGTTTACGCTATCTTTTTAGTGAATAAATTATTATTTTCATACATTTTTTAAATTTATTTGCTTTATCAGTCGTTTTTACATAATGTAAATAGGATGACTAGCCATTCGATATCGGAGATCGAGATTGTATTAACGAAATGCAGTACTGTACATCGATACCTATCCGAATTCACTTACTGTATGATCGAGCTTATCTACCGGGTGTAGAATACCTAAGTTAAAATGTTAGGTTATTAATCCTTAATGTAAAGTAAATTACGAATCCTACATAAATATTGTTGATTTATTGACTAATAGGAACTTCACTTTTTGCAAAGTTCCACCAAGGCCAACAAAATACCTAACACGTTTCTTTCGTAATTGTGTGGCTAACTATAATCTATTAATTTCCATAAAGTTTTACGGTGCTAGAAAAAGTTTAGGACCGGTAATGTATTTAAATTTGTAAATGAAACAGAGAAATTTCTTTTAAATATTTATATTTATTTGCCGGCGGTGAATAATATAAAGAGTAACTAAAATTTTAGCTCAAATTTGAAGAACTTTCAAAGATAATATTCTAATATATTCTTCTGGAAAAAGGTTAGCTTGTGAAATTACAAGAAAACTTAACATAACCGAATTAAAATTACAACGTAATGCGAATACAAATTTGTAACTAATTACTCGTGTTCGTTACACATTTGCCTTTATTAAACCCCTATAATGCTTTCTAGGAGGTATTGCTGTCTCTCAGAAATCCCTCTTCGGCCGGTTATTATTTTTTATATATTTAATACGGTAAGGAACAATGGCTTATCGAACTATTCCTTTTATAAAAACTCTTATTATACAGTACTATACAATCACAAATTTGCTTATAAGGTAATTTAAATTTAACATTGATATCGTATGTATTATATATACAGTAATACCTCGACTTACGCTACCCCGACTTACGCGAACCCGGAGTTACGCGATTTTCAAATCTCGTCGATTCGTCTTTTGTTTGAGCGCCACGCGACTCTCGATTACTCACTCCCCCACACTATTGTTAAGCTTACATATTCAGACGTGTCGCGCGGAATCGACACATAGCTACAATTTTTATTTTGCGTTATTTATTTCTTTGTTTGTTATATCTACGGAGACTCGAGAGTCTCTATGTGGTGATTTCTTGTAACCGTGAACGAATCAAAAGATGAGATAAGATTAACGAGAATATTTATTAGCTTACATACGTCCGACTTGGATT